GGGGCAGGGGCCCCGCGGCCACGCAGGGGTTTCTCCCCGGGTTCTCCCAGCAGGTCAGGCTGCCAGCTCCCTGGCCACGGCCTTGTTCAGCTTGTCCCTCAGGTAGGCCCAGCGCTGCCGCTCCTGCTTCAGCTCCAGGACCTCGTAGTGAGGAACCTGCCCCGGGAACAGGGAGAAGGAGTCAGAGCCCCCCCCTCCAAGGGATCCCAACCCCCCCATCCCAACCCTGGGAGCAGCTGCCCCCTGCTCTGATCCCAGCCCAGCAACACCAGGGTTGTTCCCCGAGGAGCTGGTGCCTCCCACGGGCACCCCAGCTGGAGCCAAACCCTTCCCCACGGGAGCTGATCCCGGAATTCCAGGCCCTGCCTTGTTACCCCAGGAGCTGATCCCAGAACTCCAGGCCCTGCATTGTTACCCCAGGAGCTGATCCCAGAACTCCAGGCCCTGCATTGTTACCCCAGGAGCTGATCCCAGAACTCCAGGCCCTGCATTGTTACCCCGGGAGCTGATCCCAGAATTCCAGGCCCTGCATTGTTACCCCAGGAGCTGCAGAGGACGTGCTGGGTGTCACAGCCCAGCCTGGCCCATCCTCCCCTCCCCCTGGGATGAGATGTTGGAACGTGCAGGCTGGGGTGGGGTGGGGGGGGGCAGAGGCTGGGGAGCCCCCTGTGCTTCCAGAACACTGGAATGTGGTTTATCCACCAGCCTGTGCCAGGGAGCAGCCTCTCCTGGGTGGGGGGGGGATCCCACCACCCACCCTGGCTTTATATTTAGCAGGAGGCTGGAGCTGTGGGAAGTGGCACTTTTCTCCTCCTCCTCCTGGGTTGTTTTTTCCCCAGAGGGAACTGCAGCCCCAGGGAACCTCAAACCTCACTTGGCATCAGCCTCAAAGTGCAGCTGAAGGAGCAGGGATGGGGGGAAAGGCTTGGAGCACAGGGAGATGGATGTGGGGTGACAGTGACACTGCTTTGGGGTGACAGTGACACTGCTTGGGGGTGACAGTGACACTGCTTGGGGGTGACAGTGACAGTGCCCGGGGGGGAAACACACACACACGTGGCCTGAAGGAGCCCCAGAACTGGGGCAGGAGATGTGGATCCACAGGGAATGGGGCAGAGGATGACTCTGGTGTGTCCCCCCCACCCGCGGGAGGCCAGGGCTGGCTGCTATAATTAGCTCCGGGAAGCTAATTAAGGCGTGACCCCCCCCCTCCCTCCCCCACCAAGCACCAGGATCAGCTCCTTAACACCTTGTCTGCCTCCCCCTCCTGCCCCCACCCCGGGATCACAGCAGCTAATCCCGGCCCTGCAGGGAAGGAGCTGAGCTGGGGCTCTGCCCAGCACCCCCCGGGGCCATCAGGAAGGGGAGGAGAGCAGGGAGGAATCTGGGATTCCCTCCCCCCGAGGTGCCTGCTCCTCCATTCCCAGGGAATTGGGGCTGTACTCACGTCCACCAGGAGGAACCCGGCGGCCTGGAGATGGCGCCGGGCCATGGCGTAACGGCCCAGCAGCTCTTTGCTTCTGTTGCTGAAATTGGGGAATTCCCAACGGAGGAAAGCGACCCTGGGAGATGGGATAAGGGATGGGAGGCTGGGAGACCCCCGGATCCCACTGGGAGACCCCGGGATCCCACTGGGAGACCCCCGGATCCCACTGGGAGCCGGGGCAGAAGGGGCTGCCCCGGGGCCAGCAGGACGTGGCAGAAGCTGCTCCAGCCCAATCCACCCCACAGCCCAGGCCTGGCAGAGCTGAGCAGGGCAATTCCACCTTGTTTTCCAGGCAGGGAGGAGGCAGCTCCAGCCCCAGGACCCTCCTGACACCCATTTTCTGGGAGAAAACCAGTGCCAAGAGGAGCATCCAGCCCCCTCCTCCCCAGCTGGGCCAGCCGGAGCAGCTCCAGGCTCCCCAACACCCCTGGCACAGCCCCACCACAATCCCTGCCCTCTGCCCACCCCTCCTGCTGGCCACCTGAGGTGGGAAACAGCTGGGGACAGTGCTCTGGGTGCAGTGACCAGGGGGCCAGGCAGGGCCAGCCCCCTCCCCACCCTCTCTCCCTGCACCCACCTCCGGGCGCCCGGCGGCAGCGGCTCCGTCCCCTCGCAGCGGGGCAGGTGGGGGGCAGCAAAGTCCCTCAGGGGCACAGGTTTGTTCTCACTGTTCACCACCACCTCGGCATCTGCAGGGGGAGGAGGGGACACAGGGACTCCCGAGACCACCCCCACACAAGCAAGGTGGAAGCTGCTCATGCCACCTCACCCCCTTCCCTTCCGTTTCCTTTTCTTGCCCTTTCCTTCTTCTCCCTTCCTTTCCTTCTTTTCCCTTCCTTTCCTTCCCTTCCCCTTTCCTTTTTTCCCCTTCCATCCTTTCCTTCCCTTCCCCTTCCTTCCCCTCTCCTTTTTTCTTCTTCCTTCCCTTCCCCTTCCTTCCCCTCTCCTTTTTTCTTCTTCCTTCCCTTCCCTTCCCTCCCTTTCCTTCCCTTCCCTCCCTTTCCTTCCCTTCCCTCCCTTTCCTTCCCTTCCCTCCCTTTCCTTCCCTTCCCTCCCTTTCCTTCCCTTCCCTCCCTTTCCTTCCCTTCCCTCCCTTTCCTTCCCTTCCCTCCCTTTCCTTCCCTTCCCTCCCTTTCCTTTTTTCCCCTGCCCTTCCTTCCTTCCTTCCTTCCTTCCTTCCTTCCTTCCTTCCTTCCTTCCTTCCTTCCTTCCTTCCTTCCTTCCTTCCTTCCTTCCTTCCTTCCTTCCTTCCTTCCTTCCTTCCTTCCTTCCTTCCTTCCTTCCTTCCTTCCTTCCTTCCTTCCTTCCTTCCTTCCTTCCTTCCTTCCTTCCTTCCTTCCTTCCTTCCTTCCTTCCTTCCTTCCTTCCTTCCTTCCTTCCTTCCTTCCTTCCTTCCTTCCTTCCTTCCTTCCTTCCTTCCTTCCTTCCTTCCTTCCTTCCTTCCTTCCTTCCTTCCTTCCTTCCTTCCTTCCTTCCTTCCTTCCTTCCTTCCTTCCTTCCTTCCTTCCTTCCTTCCTTCCTTCCTTCCTTCCTTCCTTCCTTCCTTCCTTCCTTCCTTCCTTCCTTCCTTCCTTCCTTCCTTCCTTCCTTCCTTCCTTCCTTCCTTCCTTCCTTCCTTCCTTCCTTCCTTCCTTCCTTCCTTCCTTCCTTCCTTCCTTCCTTCCTTCCTTCCTTCCTTCCTTCCTTCCTTCCTTCCTTCCTTCCTTCCTTCCTTCCTTCCTTCCTTCCTTCCTTCCTTCCTTCCTTCCTTCCTTCCTTCCTTCCTTCCTTCCTTCCTTCCTTCCTTCCTTCCTTCCTTCCTTCCTTCCTTCCTTCCTTCCTTCCTTCCTTCCTTCCTTCCTTCCTTCCTTCCTTCCTTCCTTCCTTCCTTCCTTCCTTCCTTCCTTCCTTCCTTCCTTCCTTCCTTCCTTCCTTCCTTCCTTCCTTCCTTCCTTCCTTCCTTCCTTCCTTCCTTCCTTCCTTCCTTCCTTCCTTCCTTCCTTCCTTCCTTCCTTCCTTCCTTCCTTCCTTCCTTCCTTCCTTCCTTCCTTCCTTCCTTCCTTCCTTCCTTCCTTCCTTCCTTCCTTCCTTCCTTCCTTCCTTCCTTCCTTCCTTCCTTCCTTCCTTCCTTCCTTCCTTCCTTCCTTCCTTCCTTCCTTCCTTCCTTCCTTCCTTCCTTCCTTCCTTCCTTCCTTCCTTCCTTCCTTCCTTCCTTCCTTCCTTCCTTCCTTCCTTCCTTCCGCTGCCCAGGCCCCAGCAGAGCCTCCCTCAGGCTGCTCTGCAGCAGGGTCACCTTGTCCCCCACCCGTTCTGGGGACACCAGCATCTCGGGGGGCAGGAACGGCCCCTGGTACTCGGGAACCTCCAGCTTGGCTGTGGTGTTGATGTGAACCAGCTTGAGCCTCAGGTTCTGCGCCTTGAGGGACTGATCATCTGGTGGGAGGAGAAGAGCTGAGCTGGAGACACAGCCCCAAGGCCTGGGCCATTGCTTGGGCACCTGGTGGCCTCCACAGCCCTATCCAATGGGAATTCCCAGCTCTGATCCCTCCCCCAAAAGTGGGAGACACAGCCCCAAGGCCTGGGCCATTGCTTGGGCACCTGGTGGCCTCCAGAGCCCTGTCCAACGGGAATTCCCAGCTCTGATCCCTCCCCACGCAGAAGGGGAGACCCGGATCCCCCAGGCCAGCATTCCCAGCCCTGCTCCAGCTGCTGGCAGGGAGCCACCAGGGGCTGGCTGAGGGCTTGGGGACAGTCCCACTGCAGAGCAGTGTTGGTGGTCGGATGTCAACCCCAGTGACCCCACGGGAAGGGGATGGGGAGCTCGTGGACCCCAGTTTGCTGTGGCAGCCGGGTGGCCAGTCCCCACCACGGAGGAGGCAGGGACTGAATTTGACAGGGCTGCCCCTCCCCCAGGGAGGAAATCCCAAGCCCTTCCCTGTCTCTTCCTGAGGCCCTGGAGGAAGGGGATGGGAGCAGAGCAGCCAGCTGTGCCCTGGGGGCACCATTTCCACAGGAAGGCTGAGGGCAACTGGGACTGAGTGAACCCCAGTCAGCTGGCAGGTGACACCAGGTTGGGTGGGAGGGCTCATCTGCCTGAGGGTGGGAAGGGTCTGCAGAGGGATCTGGACAGACTGGATCCAGGGATTGAGGCTCTGCAGAGGGATCTGGACAGGCTGGATCCAGGGATTGGGGCTCTGCAGAGGGATCTGGACAGGTTGGATCCATGGGCCAAGGCCAGTTGTCAGAGGTTCAACCAGGCCAAGTGCCAGGTCCTACACTGGGGTCACACCAACCCCCCAGTGCTCCAGGCTTGGGGAGAGGGGCTGGAAAGTGCCTGGGAGAATAGGACCTGAGGGTTGGTCACAGCAGCTGGAGATGAGCCAGGGTGTGCCCAGGTGGCCAAGAAGGCCACCAGCATCCTGGCTTGTGTCAGCACTGGGGTGGCCAGCAGGAGCAGGGCAGGGATCACCCCCCTGTGCTGGGCACTGGGGAGGGGGCACCTGGAATGCTGGGCTCAGGTCTGGGCCCCTCAGGACAAGGAGGACATGGAGGGGCTGGAGCGTGTCCAGAGAAGGGCAAGGGAGCTGGGGAAGGGGCTGGAGCACAAGTGTGAGCAGGAGCAGCTGAGGGAGCTGGGGGTGTCCAGCCTGGAGCAAAGGAGGCTGAGGGGAGACCTGCTGGCTCTGCAGCTGCCTGAGAGGAGGTTGGAGCCAGGGGGGTCGGGCTCTGCTCCCCAGGAACAAGGGATGGGACAAGAGGAACCGGCCTCAAGTTGTGCCAGGGGAGGTGGAGGTTGGATCTGGGGAACAATTCCTGCCTGCCAAGGGTTGTCAGGGCCTGGCTCATGCCTCAAGTTCAGACAGACCAGGCTCAGTGTTCCCACCCCCTGCCCCAGCTCAGGGCTCCTTGGTCCCCACCCCAGTGGCAGACCCTCCCCCTTCACCTCGGATCCAAGCGTGGAATTCCGGCGCCAGCACCCGCTGCAGGTAGGGAGCCCTGCCCTGCTGCAGGACACACAGGGACCAGACCAGCTCTGTCAGCAGCTGGGGCTCCAGCTGGTCCAGCTGGGCCTGGAGCACCTTATGGACCTGCCAGGAGGGAAACCCAACAGCTCAGCACTGCCCAGGCTTCACCTGGAGGTCACAGCATGGAATGACATCATGGAATGGTTTGGGTGGGAAGGGACCTTAAAGCTCATCCAGTCCCACCCCTGCATGGGCAGGGACACCTCCTAGAATCGCTGGGCAACCTGGGCCAGGCTCTCCCCACCCTCACAGCACAGAATTTCTCCCTCCCATCTCAGCTCCAGCTCCCTCTGCCAGCTGGAAACCCTTCCCCCTGCTCCCATCCCTCCCTGCCCTTGTCCCAAGCCCCTCCCCAGCTTTCCTGTAGATGGAATGTCCCTCCTCAGCCTGGGATGTCCCTCCTCAGCCTGGGATGTCCCTCCTCAGCCTGGGATGTCCCTCCTCAGCCTGGGATGTCCCTCCTCAGCCTGGAATGTCCCTCCTCAGCCTGGGATGTCCCTCCTCAGCCTGGGATGTCCCTCCTCAGCCCGGGCAGGCAGACAGGACCAGATCTGCCCATGGCAACCTCCACCCTTCCCAGCAGTTCCCAGAGCCAAGGGAGCTGCCCCAGGCTGAGGGCCTGGCCAGGCTGGGAGCCCCACAGGCTGTGCCAGGAAGGGGTGTGCAGCCTTCAGCAACTACAGCCTCATTACAACACATTAATTAGGCCAATTAGCATTCAGGAGGGCACGTGGACACCCCCCCACTGCTTGTGCCTCCTCAGAAATCCAGCCTGCAGGGACTCCAGCTGGGATAAACTAGTTCAGCTCCTGCCTGCCAGGTTTTCCAGCCCGGGCTGAGCTCCTGGCTTCCCCTTTCCCTCTTCCCACACCATTTCCAGGTGGATGGAGCCACCCAACACCCACTTTCCCACAGGGATGTGCCAGAAGATGCTCAGCTGGGAAGGAAGGGAGGGAGGCTGAGGAAGAGGGGGAAGGGAGGAAGGTTACCATGGAGAAGAAGTCCTCATTTCCACTGGGCTGGAAGTTAAGGCGAGCAAAAGACATGATGATCCCACACAGGTGGGTGACTGGGAGCTGCTGGGCATTGTCCAGGGCATACTGGGGAAAAAAAAATAGGGATTTGGGTCTGTCCTGCAGGAGCAGGGACAGGAAAAGACTGAAGGTGTCAGCCCAGGATGTGTTTGGCCCTGTGGCTGGAGGGGAAAACAGGAGGGAAATGATGCCACCGCTTCTCTGGGGTTTGGATCTTGGCACGTGGGAAAGGGGTGAGTGGAAGAGCAGCTCTGAAATATCCCAGTACAGATGGAATGGTCTGGAATTGGGGCAGAGCTGGGGAGAGCAGCAGTGCTGGCACTTGGGAGTGGGGATTCTGGGGGGATTGGGAGGTTCTGGTGAGGAGCAGGAGGATCCAGAGGGGATTGGGAGGATCCAGGGAGGGGCAGGAGGGTCCAACGGGGATTGAGAGGTTCTGGTGAGGAGGAGGAGGCTCCAGCAGGGACTGGGAGGATCCAGGTGGGATTGGGGGGCTCTGGGGAGGAGCAGGAGGCTTCAAGTGGGGATTGGGAGGTTTGGGGGGGAGGATTTGGAGAATCCAGTGGGAACTGGGGGCTCTAGGGAGAAGCAGAAGGTTCCAGTGGGGATTGGGAGAGTCCAGGGTGGAAGGGAGGGGCTTCAGTGGGGATTAGGAAGCTCCAGTGAGGAATGGGGGACTCCAACGGGGGCAGGAGGCTCTGGGAGGCTCCAGGGGGGAGCAGGAGGCACCAACAGATCCAAGACCACCCCCATCTCCACAGGGAACCCCAGCTGGGAAGGCAAGACAAGCCACGACCTCCCCAGGAGCACCTCAGGAAGGATTCTGGGATAAACCCACTCCCGTTCCCTGGGAAGCAGAAGATCCCAGTTTTCCCAGTGCCAGGGGGGGGGGGCTTCCATGACCTCCCCCAGCCCCCTCACCTGGGCAATGGCCTCGAAGAGGGGCAGGCTGAGCCACTTGAGGAGGGCAAAGGATCGGGTGCAGCGCGTGAGCTCCAGGGGGGTCATGGTGGGGAGGTGGGGCTGCAGGTCAGAGGCCACCTTCTGGAGCACCTGGGGCTGGTGGAAATTCAGTTTTCCTTAAAAAAAAAAAAAAAGAAAAGCAAAAAAAGCAAAAAAAAAAAAAGCAGAGAGAAAAGCAGCAGCCACTTACAAGGAGCTGTCACAGGAGCCAGGCCTGGAATGGGGCTGGCACAGAGGGAAGCACCAAGGTCTCTGTCAGGGGTGGTGGCTCCAGGGTTAATATTGTCTCCCTCAAATGCCTTTGCCTCATCCTTCCTGGTCCCACCAAGTCTCTGCTGGACCCAGAGCTGAGTGGCTCCAGCACCCCCAAAAGGCTGGGAGACTATTTTAGCCCCAGTGCCTCCAGCTACGGATCCTGGTTCACTCAGGAAAGCCCTGAATTCCTTAAGGGAACCTCATGCTGGCCTGAGGAACTGCCAAGGAACCAGGAGGGCAGCACAGAGCAGCCAGGAGAGGGGGACAGGCAGGGTCTGAGGCTGGATGTGGCAGCAACCACAGGTTCAAACCATCCTGATGGGACAATGAAGCATCCAAGAGAAACCTTGGCATGGTGTGGGAGCATCCCAGCCAAGAGCATTCCCACCACAGCAGCTCCAGAGCCTGTCCCACTCCCAAACCACCTCCAGTCACTGGGGTTTTCCAGTTTTAAGGCTGGGAAATTGTTGGGACTATCCCTACATCCAAGTCCAGCCTGTAGATAACATCCAGCTGCCCTTCCTGAGCTGGAACACCTCTAAGAAAGGTGCCTGACATGGATGTGGAGGCCCTGACATGGAGCATCCACCACTTCCCTTGAAACTCATTCCAGATCCATCGGCTTCCCAGAAGCAGGCTGGAACACCACCAGCAGGAGCACAAGCTCCCCCTAAAACCAGGTCTGCTGGGGTTCTCTCTTGATTTTGGGAATGCAGCTCATCCACAGAGACCATCCTGACCCCAGGGGTTGTCACAGGAGCTGTTACCACCACCAGAACCTGAACAATCAACTGCAGAGCAGCTCCTTGGCTCTGCTGGCTTCCTTCAGCCCTCCCTGTCTGGGCTTTATCCCTGTTTCTCTGGGCCTCATCCCCTCACTTCCCTGGGCTCTACCCCCACATTTCCCCAGGCTTTACCCCCACATTTCCCTGGGCTTTCCACTGGCTTCCAGCAGTTCAGAAGACAGAACCACCCAACAGTGCATGGGAAGAGGAGCCAGAGGACTAAGGATCATAAATCCCGAGACGCCCACGGCCACAGGAGGGGAAGATTTGGGGCCATTTCCCCCAAATCTTGCCCTCTCTCCTCACAAGTTCCTTTCTTTCTGCATAAGGGGAGGCAAATGGAGAACCTGGGATTGCTCCAGCTGCTCTGGGAGCTGGGAACAAGGTGGGTAAGGTCCAGCCCCACGTGCCCTGCCAGCCTTTCTACTTCACCCACCCGCGGCATCTACCAAATCAATGCTGGAGCATCCCCCCAAAAAAATCAGCTGGATTCCACCAAGAGGAACCACCCAGCTGGTCCCCGAGGCTCTTACCATAGGCAAAGATCAGGTCTGTGAGGACGTTGAGGCTGAGCTCTGAGTGCTTCTGGAGGAGGTGGTAGGAGAGGGCTCGGAGCAGCGGGATGCAGCGCCGGCGCTGGTAGGCCAAGGCCAACGTGATTTTCCGGATGTCCTCGGGACCAAACTGCTCAGCAAGTTCCAGAGCCTGCCAAGAAAATGTTTGGAGGGGAGTTGGAAAGGGAATGGGATGAATCCTGTTTTTCCACCAGGAGCTGCAAAGCTTCGTGGAGCTCCTGGTGGAGAAACTGGATTCATCCGGAGCGGGATGTGCCGCTCAGCCCTTCCCAGCTGGTCTGAAAGGTCCTTTTCCAACCAGGTTCTGTGACAGCAATTGGTGACTTTTGGGGTGGTGGCTGGAGGGAGGGGACAAGGAACCCCTGACCCCTCAGCAGAGCTCAGCCAGGAGCTGGTTTCCTGCTGGATCAGCACCTGGCTCCCCCCTGTAATTCTCACTTCGTTTAGGCAGACGTGGTTAATTTGGGCTCCAAATTAAGGTGACAATGAGGTGACAACCCCAGCAGGGCCAGCACCCTCTGCCCAGCCACACGCCCCTCTCTGTGACATTTCTTTGTCCCCAGGGTTGAGGGGGACAAGTGGGGAGAGGGGACAATGGGGGTGTCCTGGTCCCCAAGGGTTGGATTTGAGGCAGCTGCAGCCGGGGCTCCCGTGGTGGCTCCAACCTGAGGGACACTGACCAGGAATAGGGACCCATGGAGCACCCCAGGGGACAGGAGTGTCCCCTTGGGAGGACAGGAGCCTGGGGACAACCAGAGGGTGAGGAAAGGATGGACACTCCTTACCCCAGCCCCCCTCAGAGCCAGCCTTGTGCCAAGAGGGGCGATGGCTTTGGTGGCACAAGCCCCTGCCTTGGCCCCAGACCCCTACATTGTCCCCAAGACCCCCACCTCATCCTGAGCCTCTTTGTCCCCCAGACCCCTGTCCTTGTCCCCCACACCTCTACAGTTGTCCCAAAGCCCCTTGTCCTCCAGACCCTTATCTTGTCCCTTGAGCCCCCACCTTGTCCCCCTGCCCTTGACCCCTGAGCCTCTACCCTCATCCTCCAGACCCCTACCCTGTCCCCCAGAGCCCCTGCCCTCGTCCCCCAGACCCCTACCCTGTCCCCCAGACCTCTACCTCATCCCAAGCCCCTAAACTTGTCTCCTGTGCCTCTACCTTGTCCCCGACATCTCTACAGTTGTCCCCCAAGCCCCTTGACCCTTGTCCCCCAGACCCTTACCCTCACCCCCCAGACCTCTACCTTGTCCCTTGAGCCCCTCCTTCAGCCCCCCCCCTCCCCCCCACGCTCCTATCCTTGTCACCAGAAACCCTCCCTTGCCCTGTAGACCCCTATTTTGCCCCCCAAACCCCTGCCTGGTCCCACTGAGCCCCATCCTCCCTCATCCCCCTGACCCCTTGCCCCTCATTCCCTACCTTGTCCTCCAGCCGGTCCATCAGCGCCGGTGAGACGTGTCCCACCTTGCTCATCAGCATCACCACGGTCCTGGTGCCCTCGAGCTCAGTCCAACGTAGCTCCAGCTTCTTGAGGACCTCCTGGAGCAGCTTGCTCTCCTTGCCTTGCCTGGCAGCAAGGAA